TAAACAATGAAATAATATTTGAGAAGCAAGTAAAATAAAATAGTAAAATAGCAAAATACTGGAGAAGAGCTGAAGAGTTGAAGATTATACTCTATTATTATGTGTAATGTAATTACACAATAATATGTAATAATAAATGTGCACTATTAAATGAGCAAAAATTGAAGCTCTTAAAAAAGCACACTTCAATGACTGTTAGAGATATTGCAGCAGATGTTGGTATGGGGAAGTCAAGCATTTCAAGGATCATTACAGACCACAGGATTAGTTGCACTGAAGCACAAAGGAAAATGCAATGAAAAACAATAAAACAACAACAACAAAAACAACAACAACAATAACAACAAAACAATGCCAAAAATTGAAAAACCCTTGCTGCAAAACAATCTAATTCTAAGAAAAAAAAAAAGCAAAGAACTTCAGAGGGATCAAGCATCTGGACAGGGACAACACAGGCTTCCCGAAATTGAAAAAAGGAGCAAAAAGAAGAGTACAAAAGTACTGCCAACTTTCTGTGAAGAAACAAAGCTTGTCATGGGTAAGACAAAACAAACTCTGGATTATTGAAGATTGGAAAAAGATAACTTTTGCTGATAAAACCCTCTTTTAATTAGAGGATATATGAAAGCTATTGTCAGAAAAAGTCTTCATCAGCCTGTAAAACATCACCCCCCCAAATTTTGTAGATTTTTTTTTAACTTCTACTAGGCATGGAAGTCTTGTCCTCATTGAAGAAATGATGAACTCTGATAAACATACTGATATATTGAGAAGCAGAATTGTTCTGGAATTATGAAAGTTTCCAAATGAAGATGGAATACTTCTATGGTCTTGTACAATACAACATATCATGAAAGGGTAAGAAAAGTTTTCCCCCAAAATTATTATTTATTTATTTTTAATATGCATTTAAAAATTTTTTTGAGTTCCAAATTTTCTCTCTCCTAATCTCCCTTGTTGTACCCATTGAGAAGGCAAGAAATTTGATATCAATTATATATGTGAAATTATGCAAAACATGAAATGTATTCATTTATTAGAGACAGGCATACCTCAGTGGACTCAGTACTCAATTTAAATCCTACTGAAAACCTATGGGCTATAATTAAAGCTATACTTTAAAATAAATAAATAAAGTAAAAATAAACTGTTCATCAAACTTAGTCTTAATGTCTGTGATAAAGAGTGCTTTTATGATGAAGAATTAAAGAATATTTGTCAAAATCTTGCAAGCTTTACACCAAGTCTTTCAGAAAAAGTAAATCTAATAAAAGGTCATATCATATATTAAAAGTTTTTAAAGATATAAAAATGTATAACTCCCATTATATGCCAATAAATTCAATTATTTTATTTTGTCCTGGTTAATATACACATCACTGTAGCATCAGCTCCCATGGATTTAATTATCATTTCTATGCAGATGACACATATTTCTGGATATTCAATCCCAGTTTTTCTCCCAGTAAAACAAACTGGAAGTCAGGGGCATATTGAAAAGCTAGCTTCTCCTATATGTCTGGAGCTTCCAAAGTCTCTTTCTCTTCGTACATCGTCCCCAAAGAATGTCTGGAACTAGGCATATCTTTCACCCAAAAAACTCTGGTACCAACTCCTCCCATGCAGGTCTACAACCCTAGTCTCTCTCCTGAACTCTAGTCCCCTATCACCAATTACTACTTGGACAGCTCGAAGTAGATGCCCTATAGGCATTTCAAATGCAACATGTTCAGAGTAGGATTAGTTATTATATTCCCCAAACTCTCTCCTCTTTCAAACCTCCCTATAACTGTTGAGCATATTACCAGTCTCCCAGTTACTAGCCCCATGATCTTGGTGTCATCTTCAGCTGCTCACTTGTACTCACTTCACTTATCTAATCTATTGTCAAATCTTGTTGTTCCCACCATCATAAAATCTCTCAACCATCACTCTAGTTCAAGCCCTTATCATCTCTCACCTGGATTATTGTAATAGCTTCCCAACTGGTCTTGCTGCCTCAAGACTATCTCCATTCCAATTCATTCTCTACTCAATTGTCAAGATGAATTTTTTTCTTACAATATATGTCTAACCATGTTATATCCATCATCAATGAACTCCCTATTACCTCCAGAATTAAATATAAACTCCTCTGTTTGACTTTTAAAACTCTTTATCACTTGGATCCTTCCTACTTTTTCAGTCTTCTTATGATTTACCCGCCTCCACACACCACACAATCCAGCTACACTGCTGCTCTTTGAACATGATAATTCATCTCCCATCTTTTGTGCACTAGCTTCCCCCATTCATGTAATGCTTTGCCCCTTTACCTCCCCTTCTTTATTCCTCTAGTTTCCTTTAAGTCTCAACTCAAGTTAGACAGTTCTTCATGAGGTCTTTTTCAGTAGCCCTCCCTACCTCCTCATCAAGCTAGTAGTGCCTTCCCTTCTGAGATTACCTTCCATCTACTGTGTATGTATTTTTTGTGTTCCTAGTTATTTGCATATAAGATCCCTTCTTTTCATTTACGTGATTTTAGTCATGGTATGTATTGTTTTCCTGGTTCTGCTTATTTCACTTTCCATCAGTTCATGTCTTCTCATGCTTCTCTGAATTCTTCATAGTCATAATTTCTTATGGCACAGTAACATCTCATTATTTTCATGAACCAAAATTTATTTAGCCATTCCTCAATCAGTGAGTATCTGCTTTGTTTTCAGTTCTTTGCAACTATGAAAAGTGCTGCTGTCAATATTTTGGCATATATAAGGACCTTTCTTTCTGTCTTTGACCTCTTGGGGTATAGGTCTAGCAGTGGGATCTCTGAGTCAAAGGGAATGGACATATCTTTCTTAGCATAATTTCAAGTTGTAAAGATAAGGATTCTAAGAGATGGAGATGAGGTGGGAGTATATTCCAGGAGGGAGGAACAGCCAGTGTTAAGATATAGAGATGGGAGATGGAGTTTCATTTTTGAGAAATAGCAAGAAGGCCAGTTTAGCTGGAATCTTAGTACATGAATGGGAATTATGTGTGTAAGACATAGAATAGCAATCAAAGTGGCTGTACCAGAATAGTCCTAGGATCTAGAAGTTATAGAGGAATGCAGTAGGACCTGAGGTCCCCACCTTTACTTCTCCTACAACAAGGATTAATTTTCCCTAAAAGGCCACAAAACTGTCTAGGGATCTGATTGGCCCCTGCCTCCCATAGCCCTGATCACTTAAGCATAAAAAGTCCTACCCACATGTAGTTAGGGCCCTCTGAAGAGACCTATGTACGTGTGCAGAGAACTCACCAACCAATTTGGATACTATATATATATATATATATATATATATATATATATATATATATATATACAACAAATGAAAGCAAGGGAAGGTAATAACAGAATGAATACAAAATTATCACATAATTCTGTAAAAATACAGGAGTTCTAAAGCTTGGAATAAACTGAAGCTCATAAGAAGAAACAAAAAGTTTTTTTTAACACTATATTGGGGAAAAGAGTAAGGACAAAAATGGGATATGAGCACTGCTTGGAATGAATGGGATGATGATACCCAACAACAAAAACAAGGCAGACCTGCTCCATCCTTATTTTGCTTCTGTTTTTCTGCAGAAAAGAATGACCTTTAGAATGGAAAGAATGAAAATGGTTTGTCAGGAATTGATACCCAAGATAAATCAGTAGATAGTAAAAGAATAGTTAGTTGCCCTTGATTAATGTGAGTCGTCTAGCTCAGATGAACTATATCCTTGGATACTGAAAGAAGCGGCGGATGTGATTACCAAAGCACCATAAGTGATATTTAGAAGATCATGGAGACTAGGAGGGGTACTGCAGGACTGGGAAAGAGCAACACCATCCACTGTTACAAAAAAAGGGAAAAGGCTGGCATCTGAAAGCCAGTGAACTTGACTTTGCTTCTTGGGAAAATTCTGGAATGTGTTATTAAAGAGACAGTGAACATCTAGAATAGGAAGGCATGATTGCAGAGCAACAGCAGGGCTTCATCAAAAACAAGACACGCCAGACAAAAGTTATTTCCTTTTTTGATAGAGTTACCCAATTAGGATAATCCTGGAATTACTAGAAATCTACAAATAAAGAGGTAAGTGGAAAGACTGCTAAGCAAAGCTAGCACTTCCTAGTCAAACACCGTGTTTCAAGTTTCAGAATCTCCCAAGCAGGTAGAGGCATCAGAAGAGTCCAGGGGGAGTATTAAGGGTAGGTTTTAGGGTTTGGATGTATTTTGCTGTTACTGTTTTTTAATATATAATATTTTATTTTCCCCCAATTACATGTTAAATCAATTTTTAGAATTTTAAAAAGTTTGAGTTCCAAATTCTATCCCTCCCTCCGTCCCTGCTTCCTATCCGCTCCTCCCTAAGAGAGTAAACAATCATATAGGTTATACAGGTGCAATCATATAAAACATTTCTATGCTAGTCATTTTGTACAAGAAAACTTGAATTTAAAAAAAGAATTAAAGAAAGTAAAAAATAGCATGCTTCAGTTTATATTCAGACAATCTCAGTTCTTTTTCTGGAGGTGGATAGTATGCTTCATCATTAGTCCTGTGAGATTGTCTTGGATCATTGTTTTGCTGAGAATAGCTAAGTCATTCACAGTTCTTCATTATACAATATTGCTGTTACTGTGTACAACAGTCTCCTGGTTCTGCTCACTTCATTTTGTATCAGTTCACGTAAGTCTTTCCAGTTTTTCTAAAATCATTCTGCTTGTCATTTCTTAACAGCACAATTAATATTCCATCATAATCATATACCACAGCTTGTTTAGCCATTCCCAACTCCATGGGCATCTCTTGGATTTCCATTTCTTAGCCACATGGAGATATTTTGGCTCAAAAGCAGTTCAGTGAATCTCAGGATAAGGAAGATCACCCAATCCTGGTGGTGAAAATGGGGGCTTTTGTTTTGAATGAGAAAGGAGATCTTCTCAAGGATATGATTAAAGCATCCAAAAGACATTATTAGAGTTGGCACTAAGGGTTAGGGATTTTCTTCTTGACATTCACATATTTTTGAATATCTTCAAGCTTTTTGGCCAAGTTTGGAATTTCATAATTCTGAGCCAGATACTTCTCACCAACATTGCTGAGTGTGATTCTAAGGAAAAATTGGATCATGGTGATGACTGGTGACAAAGGTGCAGGGGAATAATGTGGAAATAACCTACAAAAGTATTTGAAAATGTCCCTAATGCTAGTCTTGTAGAAAAGATTAAAAAATGTGGGCTAGGTGGCAGTACAATTAGATGGATTCAAAAATGCTTAAATACTGACCCAAAGGTTGACATCAATGGCTCCATATCAGTTTGGAAGGAGGTACCCCATGACACTTTAGGGATCTATGCTTGATATTTTTATCAATACCTTGGATAAAGGCATAGATGGCATCTTGATCAAATTTCCACATGATACAAAGCTAGGTGAGACACCAATCACACTTGATGATAGAACAAGGTCCCCAAAAGATTTTGACAGGCTTGGAAATTGGACCGAACACACGATGATGAAATTTAAAAGTAATTAAAAGCAGTCTTACATTTGGGTATCATGTGGGGGAGATATCAGACTTCTGTTTGTCCCCAGACAACAAGTAGCTTTCAAAGAGGAAAATCTAGGCTTGGGTTGAGGAAAAATGCCTCAACAGTCAGAATCATTTAAAAGTAGAATGGGTTTTTTTGGAGGTACAGTATTCTCCCTTACTTGAAGTCTTTTTTTAAATTTTTTTTATTTTTAGGCAATTGGGGTTAAGTGACTTGCCCAGGGTCACACAGCTAGTACGTGTCAAGGTTTTGGTCTGAGGCCGAATTTGAACTCAGGTCCTCCTGACTTCAGGGCTGGTGCTCTATCCACTGCACCACCTAGCTGCCCCTACTTGAAGTCTTTTAACAAAGGCTGATTTCACCATTTGTTGGCTCTGTTATAGTGGGGACACCCTGACAATCTATGCCTCCTGTACAAAAAGCTCTTAGGAAAGTGAAGGGCAGCAGACTTAATGGCTCAGTCAGTCAACAAACATTTAATTAAGTGCCTACTATGTGCCAGGCACTGTGTTAAGTACTGGGAATACAAACACAAGCAGAAAGACAGTCCCTTACTTCAAGAAACTAATGTTCTAACAGAGGAAAACTGAAAAGTTACATATAAGTGAGAGAAGGGTATCCCAGCTCAGAGGTATGGTTCAGCAAGTGTGGAGTGTTGCCTAGAGAGGAATGAGACATGGATGGCCTGGGCAGCCTTCTTAAATGGAGATTCTGGGAGGAACTGTGCAGTCAGAGGGAAAGTTCAAAGTATCAACGAAATACTGAGCTCTCCAAATTAAGTTTGCATCTGAAGATTTTGGTTTTGGAGTAGTTATGATAGGTATTATTATCCCCAATTAACAGACAAAAATGGAGGCACAGAGAAGTTAAATTTGTTTTTTTTTTAATTTTTGATGCCCTTTGTCTTCACCTCACTTTATTTTTTAGTATTTTTAGTATTCCCCCCTCAATTCCCATCCCCACCCTCAATCTATTCTAACAAAGATTTTCAAAACAGAGGGGAAAAAAGTAATTTGACTAAATCAACCATATGTTTACTTTGAAAATGCATATTCCTTTCTGGTCTGCTTGCTTGGTGCAAACCTAGTTTAGCTGATCTTAGAAGTTTCCAAAAAAAAAAAAAAAAGAAGTTTCCAGCCTGGAAGGAAATCAAAGCAAAAGAAGTATATTTATTCAATATACTACAGTTTAATTCCCTGTTCTTGGGAATCCAGGACCAAGTGACAAGAGCTACTTAGAAGAAGAAAACAGCTGAAAACAGAGACTGAAACAAATCAGTGAGCATCAGAGGAAAGAGAGCAGTAGACAATAAAACCATTGGTAGATATCAAAAGTGGTTGCATTTGGAAATAGTGATCAGGATGAAGAATAGGAGATCTTCTGACAGTGGAGAAGACACTATAATGTAGGGGCAAATAGTCCTATACATTTCAAATTCATTTTCATAATAATGACATAAGAAAGTTCAATCCAATCTACAAACATTTGCTAAATGTTGACTGTGCAGAGCACTGTGCTAGGTAGGGTTGTGGAAGAAGCTTAGACATAGTAATAAGGAAAAAAAAAAACAAGAACACTGGATTTCAAGTTGTAAGACCTGAATTTGATTCCCTTTTCTGCCACTTATTACTTTTTGACCTTGGGAAAATCACTTAACCTCTCTGGGGCTAGGCTTCCTTCTTCGCCTAGAAAATGAGACAATTGAATCAGATGATCTCTAAGGTCCCTCTAAATTCTTAAATCCTTTTATCTTTTAAGACATAGCCTCCACCTTCATGGAGTTTACTGGCTAGTATAGAAACAAGACACAAACACAGAAACTGAAATATACAAAATATAAGCACATGAGAGTGGGGATATGATCAATTAATCAAAAAGTGGGAGTATAAAATCCCATCTTCCCTATAATATTCAATTGTTGGACTCTCCAAAACAACCAAACCACTCCCTTCACTCATTATCACCCAGTACTTCCCATTCTGCCCTGTCTTGCCATGATACAAGCTTCCCTTCTGTGCCAAGTAGGGACTTCTCAGGGTGATTATAAACCAATTGTGACTTGGACACCCGCACCCGGGGCTATGCTGGTAAAATTCTCCCTGCCTCCCACTGTACATCTAGCCTACTTCCCCCTTACTCCCATTACCTTGTGGCTGGACAGGTACTTTTCAACAAGTTCTGCAGTTTACAAAGTGACTTTTTTTATTTTAGGTGGGACAGAAAGTGTTGCACATGACGAGTAAATATAGGATGTGGTCCTTCCTTATAGATCTCATTACATTATCTTTCCCCCAAATGCATCCCTATTCCAGACTTCCCTATTCCTATTGGGGAGCACCACCATGCTTCCAGCTAGCTAGGTTCACAATTTAGGTTTTATCCTTGACTCCTCACTCTCACCTCACTTATTCAATCAGTGGCCAAATCTTGTCTATCCCCACATCTTTCTTACAGATTTCTTTTTCTTTGCTCCCACAGCCACCACACTCATTCAAGCCCTTATCATTTCTTGCCTTATACTATTGCCACAGCCTTCTAATAATCCCTCTGCCTAAAGTCTCTTCCCCAATTCAATCTTTCCTCCACACAGTTACAAAAGGAATTTTCCTGAAGGGCAAGTCTGACCATGTCACTCTCCTACTCAGTAAACTCTAGGATAATATATTATTGACTCTAGGATCATATATTATTTTATCTTTATCTCATAATTTTTAATTTTTCTTTTTTGTTTGAGTTTTATGATATGCAAAATCATTAAGATGGTAATATATATGTATAATCTATAGTAAATGTGCATAGATTGGTGGTATATGCTCAATTTTTTTTTTTTTTTTACTTCTAGAGGTATATGCTCAAAGAAATTTGGAGATCCTTTCATTAGAGATATTCTGAATAAAATGCTTTGTTAGGTCCAAGGAGAAAAGTTGTTCCCAAAGGCAGGGATGAGGGAAGGAAAAGTTCTTGTGAATAAAATTTAAAGGATTTAAGTTTTAAAAGATAGATAGGAATTCCACAGGCAAAGAGGAGGTTGGAGACATTACAATCATAGGGAACAATACATGTTCACAGGGAAAAAAGCATGGAGATATAGGAAAAGTAGTTGACAAATAGGAGATCTTGAATATCCAATTAGATGGAAAGGTAGGGTGGCACCAGATTGAAAGCAAGGTAAAGGAGTTTGAAATTCTGGAGTCACCTTCATAATAATTTAAGCCAGTGGTGTCAGACTCAAATAGAAAGAAATCCCTGGCCTCACAGTGATTTAGAAAACCACATATTAACATTATTTATGTTGTATTATTGTATTTTTGTTTACTTTGTTAAATATTTCCCAATTACATTTTAATCTTGTTTGGGTCACCCTCAGGAGATCTGCAGAGCAAGACTGAATTTGACACTTCTGGTTTAAGCAACAGGGAATGAAGGTGAATTTCCTGGAGAGAGTATAGAGAGAAAAGAAAAGGTCAAATGTTGGTGCTAAGTATAGTCTGTTTAATAAGGTAGGTGATTGTACAATCAATTTTAGAAAGATTTACACATAAAGTAATTAATATAAAAGGTGCTTAAGGAGGTAAACTGGTTGTCTCCATAATTTGGTTATGTGGTACAACTTCTCCAGGTAGCTACATCGATTCAGCAAACATTAAGTGCTTACTACATGGGAGGCACTGGAAATACAAAGATTTATAGGACCAGCTGGGTATCTTCAAGAAATTTAAAATCTATTGGTGGGGGTAGCAGGGTTCTGGAGTTTCATTGCATTCTAGACTGCTGAATGCCACCCAATGCCTTACTATTTGGCATGGATTGGAAGGATGACAAAAGGAGGAGTGATTCCGATTCCTTGAAAAGAGCCCCTTCCCGACCCAACTCCCTGGATGATGCTTCCCAGAGTAATAGAAAGAAGAGGCTGTCTCAACTTGGTCTTTTTGCCATACTATGCTGCTGCCATCTCCAAGGTTGAGGATTAACAGAAACCTTCCATGTTTTCTATGGAATGGGCTCAGAGTGTTGGAATGTCTGGATTTTATAGATGCCATTTAGATGGTGTTAGAGACAGCTTGCAGGCCATAGTATGAAAATCAGACTTACTTTTATTATCTTTCCTAGAATTTAGTCAGCTAGGAAAACTGAGCGAAACACAGAGACTACATCGGGTAGGTGACATTATAGATAGCAAGGACTCATTTTAAATCAATTTCTAATGTTTTGTAAAGACCATCTCAACAATCAATGTTTGGTGATCATAATAACATCTGACTTAATATTATGCAGTGAAGTTTCATAAAGTCTTTAACATAAATTATCTCATTTGGCAATAAATTATCTCAAAGCAACCTAGTTTGGTAGATACCATTACAGATGTGGAAACTGAAGCTCGGAGAGGTAAAGTGATGCCCCATGGTCATAGAGCTTGATAGGAGTCAGATGAAGGATTTGAAATCTGAGTCTTTCAGACTCCAAATCCTATACTCTATCTACTACCCCATTGTGCCTTTTCAATAATAAGGATGGTTTCAAAACTCACCTTACTTGGTTGACTAGTCCAAATTAGCAAGTGCATATATGCAAAGCTCT